AAAAAAAAAGAGAAAAAAACTGAGGAAATAAATTTAGCTTTTAATTTAGAATGACTTCTTTAAATCGATTTCTCTACTTTTGCCATGCAATTTTGCTGCAAAATTATTTATTTTTTTCTCTTCCCCAGTTACACCAATACACAATTAATGTTTTTTCCTTTCAAGAAAATTCAATAATACTAAAACTGGATAAGATTCTAAACAGAAGAATTACGGTAAAACTAAATGGGTAAACTTCTATTGTTGTCTTTGTAGGTCTGACCAGCCACTGAATCATTTGTCAACTGGTAGTTTGCATATAACAAAGAAAGAGAAAAAAAAAATTAAACTTTAATAAAAAACTTGTTTTTTTCCTTCTCTTTCCACTACGACAGCTAAACAAATTTTTGTGTCCCCTCTTTTCTTCTCCTTCTTCTCATCCAACCCTTCTCTCTTTCCTCTTCCAAACAACAAAAAAATACAGAAGTCTTATGTAAGAATAATGGTATATAAAACCAAATCTTTTTTTTTCATCCAATTTTATTTATAACTAAAAGTACATTGTAAGTAACAAACAAAAAAAAAAAAAAGGAGAAAAAGCAGCAGCAGCAACAACAACAACAACAACTTCCATAGTTCTTTCAACTCTTTATTTAACCCTTTAAACTCCGTTTCAACAAACAAAACCTGAGAGATCAAAAACTAGAAAAAAATAGAGAAGAAAAGAATGGTTTACGTCTTACTTATTGTATACCCATCATGAAGTTTATAAGTTCTCAAGAAATTGCAAAAAATATATATGCAGCATACAGACAATTTCACTAACCTTAATCCCAATTGCAACAATACAGTGTTTTGCAAGTTTTGCGCTATCGATACATCGAGAACATGAATCCAGTAAACGATCTTCTGCTTTGTTTTCTGCAAAAAAAACCCGACAATATTTTGATGGAGTTGAGAAATTTGTTTCAAAAATTAATCTTTTTTTGAATGACTCATCCAACAAGAGACTAAATTTTAAGAAAAAAGGCGAAAGAAAAAACTATAAAAATAAGTTAGATAATAACAGTATCTAACAGTACCAATACGGAAAAAAAACCGATGATTACCGAAGTTTAATAGTCAAAGGAACGTGAATGTGATTAATATGGGCTAAAGTTATGAACAAAAAATGACGAACTATAGATGTTTATTAAAATGCTTGAACAGCGATAAACACAATTGATACTAATGATGAAGATGCTTTTTTTGATATTAAGTATCCGTTCATCAATTTTTTTAACCCAAAAAAGAGTCATTAAAAATCAAAAAAAAAATAGTAGCACAAAAGTTGTTCTGTTTTCTTTTCTTTTTTTACTTTTGTTTTTTGTTGCCTTAAAAAGAAACAAGAAAATAAGAGAAAAGAAAGAAAAATGTTCAATTTGGTTTATAATCTTGGAGACGCATGTTTTCTTCTCGTTTTTTCTTTCGTTCTTTTATGATAGACACAAAAATAGTAGACGAAAAAAAAATTTTTTCCCTCTTCACCTAAATATTAAAAGTCTCACTAACGAAAAAAAGTAGAAGAAGAATCAAACATATGACGTAAACATTTAAGTGAAAAGCAATTTGAACCTTATTCATTTTGATGACACGCAACAGTATCCAGCTGTCCTTCCATTATTTCACTAACTGTTGTTCAAATTTTGATCTATTTATTCAATCCAAAAAAAGGGAAATTTAGCTACTCTGTTATTATTATTATCGATGCCAGAAAAAAAGGTCAAGAATCATCCGATTTCGTAACCATAAAATTAATTTTTTTCCTTTTCTTTTTTCTTTTGTCTTAAAAATACGAAAGAAAAAAAAACAAACAAAGAGGTCATCTGGGTACAAATTCTTCAACAGATAAAAAAATGAATAAAAAGAAAACAGCAAAAAACTTTAGTGTTTCTGAAGTAAATAACAGCAATTACTGTTACCTGTATTCAATCAGAATGTAAAAATTATTTACTAAACAGAGTGCCAATTCTGTCCATATAATTTTCTGAATTCAAGCATCCTATACAATAACCTTTTCCTCTACTCCCTCCTCCTTTCCCTCTAAACCCTCCTCCCATCAATATTCAAATACATCGTTTCATCGAGCCTCTTCCTCCTCCACAATAACGATAACAACAACAGCAACAACAATAATATGAATTTTACAACTAATTATATATCAATATAAATAGCAACATAAAAAAAAAGCATGTTACATAGGTGATGTTTGTGCATATCTTGTATTAATTTTTTAAACACGTTCAAACTGCATAAATTTTAGTACTTACCTCTGTCAAAAGATAAATACGTTTTTCTCCAATGGCCCAAAAATGTTCTTCAAATCCAAGTGGTTTGTTTAAATAAATCAACCAAAACTACAAGTCAATCAATTTGTAACAAAAATACCAGTAAAAGAGAAGAAACTTAATACGTTTCTTCTTCTTCCCCTTACCTGTCCTTCGTTTTGTCTGGCCTTTCCTCAAGCTCACCATCCCTTTTCTAACCCCTATCCTCTGTATTTCTATTTAAAGTAAAGTAAAAAAAAAAAGTCGAAATATTAAGCACTTGTCATTCCAATACTTTCCAGCACCTATCAATTCCTCTTCATATTCTCCACCACAACTTCACTCTAAACAACTTCACACTTCAACAAAACAACAAACAACCAGAAAAAAAAATACAAGAACATTTTTTGATGCCTTTTAGCACCAAAGTAAATTCTGTGAACCTTATGCTCTACTGTTCCTTTTTTCTTCTTCTTTCTCTTTTTTTTTTTTCTGCCTGTTGATAAGAATTTTTTGGAAACGGTAATGGCAAAACTATTTAAAAAGAAAAATGGCATTATCAGAAGAAATTTTGCTGCTTGTCTAGAAAAAATCTAGATTAGCGCAATAATTTCTACTTTTAAATATCTTCTCACTTATAAAATATTAAACTTAAAAAGCAAAGAAATTCTTTTTCAATAAACACTTTGACAAAAATTCTTTTTTATAATTAACCTTCCTTATCCCTCCTGACTTTCCATAATTCTTCAACCAAATAGGTGTAATTATGATATTGACAGAAAAGAATACAAGAAAAAACTGGAAAAAAAGGGGAAAAAACATGTTAAAAATTTAAAATTATTGGCAACACCATTTACGGTAGCAACACCACAAAGTTTGAAGATCAAAATTTTTGCACAAAATTTGTTGGTTAAACTACTTGTAATTCCACAAATTCTTTTCAACTTTTCAATTAAGCCAATTTGCCCTCAAGTTTTACACAGTTTTCGTTGACCTCCAAACCAGTGTTGCAACAACACTCTATTACAAGATTCCACTGGCATTACTCGAAACTTTTAAATTCTGCTACCCATAAGTCAACTCAAAACCTAATACTAACAATAATACCGATAGAAGAAAAGGTGGGAAACAGACTAATAAAAAATAAAACAATAAAAAAACTGCAACTATAATTTTTTTAACTACAGTTTAACTGATCGCATTTAGGTCTCCAGTTCTCACTTTATTGGCGTCATCTGAAACTATCAAGTAACGAATTGGAAGAGCAGAAGATGAAAGAGTTTAGAAACAGACAGAAATTTGTCAATCATTCTTCATATAAGATCAGAAAAAAACAACAGTAAAAAAACCAAAGTTCTGATGATGCCAAAAGGCAAGCTTTTTTTGCTAAAGCCTCATCTAACACTAAAATGAACAAATAATTTCCTCAGACTCAGAAAGCGGAACCTTCAGAACAGACAAAAGAAAATGCTAATTCGCCCAGCGGAGTTGAAGAAATGACTGTACAAAAAGTTTAG